CCGAAAAAGTCCTGGTATTAGTTTCAAAAAGAATCAGCATGGAGGAGAAGGGGTTGACACGAACATTTTCGCATCGAAGTTGAAGAGTATAGTGGCGTCTCATGATGGCAAACAATGGATTACGTTCCATGGTTTATATGATATGGCCTATATGGTAAAGCTCGTAACTAATGGTCCATTGCCGAATTCATGTCTGGAGTTCAGCGAAAGCATCGCTAATGTTCTTGGTCGCGTATATGACCTCAAGTGTATGGCACGGTATTGTGGAGGATTGCACGGGGGTGAGATTGGACTACAGAAAATGGCCAACAGTTTGGGAGTACGACGTTTGGGGTTGGCGCATCAGGCTGGCTCTGATAGTTTTTTGACGGCCAGGCTATTCGTGAAGTTGAAGGAGGTATATGCATTGGATGATGAATGGCATGTAGGTTATTTGTATGGGATCTGCGCTAAGATTGAGAGGACAAAACTAGTTACCGTTCATCCCTCGCTACACTATTTTCAACCATTTAGTCGTTGCTCGTCATCAGCATATTCGATTTGTGTAGCATTTAATCAATTGTGTATTTAGCAAATACTATGATGTAGCAATGTAGCATATTATTTCTTTTCATGAAACTGTACAGATAAGGAAATCCCCAGAATTGCTGCTTTATAACACAATCAGCTTATGTACTTAAAATATTTTGGTTGTGCTTACTCTACTCATAAAGTTGCACCCCCAACTGCATATACCACTTTGGCTAAACCCTTTTCTGGTTAGCAACATGCAATTCTTTTTTTTTTTTGGGTAAGTGCAACATGCAATTCAAAATCCACAGTTATAGACAGCTGCAAACAAGATATATGATGGTGTCTTTTTCGATAACATTGAGATGATATTCACAACATTACAAGAGTCAAAAATTACAGAGGCTGGTTTTTCTTCGTTTGAATTTCGTAATATACAAAAATTGGGATATGCAGCAAAGAAAAAGAAAATGTGCTATGCTACGCCGTACTTACAAGACGAGACACTGAACTGAATCCTAATTCCCTCTACTTCCTATAGAAACTGCAAATATATTACAAGCCAAAACCAAAATAAAGGAATGCAACAAGTCAACAAATGGAAAAACTGACAGTTTAAACTTCATATGTGTCAGCTGCGCTATCCACGGATTCCACTCGCTGGTGTTCTGTGACTGAAATCCGATTTTCTTGTTGGTCCACGTCAATGCTAAACTCTTCTGCTGTGGAAGATAAAGAGGGCTTGTGGTGCTTTCTATTGTGCTTCACTTTAAGGATACGGGATAGCACTTGGACTATGTCCCTCATGGAAGGCCGTTTTCTCGGGGCACGATTGATGCATTTATATGCAAGAGCTGCTATATCATCCAGTTCTTGCACATCAAATTTCCCATCAAGACGAGAATCCACAATTTCCTCCCACCCAACTTTCCCCTCCGAATTCAGTGCTGCCTACATCATCATAAAAAATAAATTTAATTGGAATCGGTTTTAGTCATCCAAAACTAAGTGTACTAGGCAATCCGAAATGTTTTTTTATGACAAAAAAAGAATTGTAATGACTTGTACATTAATTTTTGTTACTATAATTTCAACAGCCATTGTATAATGTTACTACTGTGGTTTTAACATATACTCTTTTAATCATTCTGTTGCTATTGAGTTCGAATTCAAAATGCCTGCTATTGAACTCATCATAGTTTGTTTAGAAAGCATTACAGTATTGCATGCATAAATATAACATGATGAGGATCAACTGTGAATAAAATCTTAGTGCCGTCATGTTGATGAATGATGCAACTAAAACCACCAACATATTATGTGCATGCTTCCATTTGGTTAATTTTCATTCACACACACACAGACACACACACACAGCGAGAGAGAGTGCTTACTAGCTCAACATATTCCATCAGACCCTGCTGTGGATTTCTGCCTGCAATAAGTTCAAAGAGCAAAACTCCAAAGCTGTAAACATCACTTTTCTTTGTAAACGCCCTTGTTGATATATACTCCGGATCAAGATATCCAAATGTTCCCCGTATATTCGACACATGTTTGTTAACCATTTCTTCTCTTGACAGCCCAAAATCAGCTACCTGCTTGAACCAATTTAACCCATATTCAAGAGTAAGCACCTTATAACACTTATAGTATGACCAATTTACTGGGAAAAAAAGAACATTTATATATAAACAACACAAAAAATACTGCTTCATCCCCTTCAGCACATATCAGCTAAGTAATATTACTTGTATTATCCAGAACTTTGCGAAAAGAGATCTCATTATGAAAATAATTTATATTGTAGATCTTCTGAAAGACGCTAGTTTGTGAGAGAATTTTATATTCGTTTCCTGCTTAGAGGCAACAACAATTAACAATAAACAATAAAGGCATACCCTGGCTCTCATGGACTGATCCAACAGAATATTGGAAGATTTGATGTCCCGGTGTATCACAGGAGGAACAGCCTGAAGTGAAAAAAGAAAACGCATAAATAAGTATCATTGAGTATAAATGCATGAGATTAGCTTACTGTGACTGCACATGAGAAACATACACTTGTAAGTTCAAATAAGATAAGTATACCCCATCATGAAGATACTCCAAGCCCCTAGCTACATCTAAAGCTATTTGAACCCTCAAATCCCAGCTCAATGGTTCATGATTTTCACCTGAACATCCAAACAATTAACACTAGAAAAGATGAGAATGATCATTAACTGAAAAAAGAAATTGCATATGACCAAAAAAGAAAATCTATACAGCATCTATCTTCTCTATTTGCAACTAATTTGATTATAGCAACTTGATCACATTAAACCATGGTGACATTCTATCAAATCACATATATAACCGTACAGGATTCAATTCGTTTCCAGTGATGAGTCCAGAACCAATGTTCCTGAACTGGATGGGACTCAACCAAAAGGCCTGCCAATTCACTGGTAAACTGGTATCCTAGCTGCACAGCCTGGGATTAAGAAAGGTGGAATTCGTAGCATAAAATTTCTTTAGAAAAAATAAAGGAAAATAATATCTTAAAACAACTATATTTAAACATTCGTACTATATGCTGTTCTTTCTAATATTTCATAGGGACAGAGTCGCTAAAAACCAGACCAACAAAACCCTAAAGTATACAGATTGACAGTTTTAAAGTGGTCCAGTTCATTTGGAAACGCTGTCAAAAGAGAGAATCAAGAAAACTTGATTCATGGACATTTGCATAAACTTTAAACTAAAAATAATTATTTAAGTTGTTGATAGTTTTAAGCTTCAACCTGTCTGAAAATTAGTCAGTCCAGAAGTATAATCCATGGAATTTAAACTACCATAAATTTTCAGGTGGAATGCAGCTGCAAAGATTTAGTCAAAATGAGAAAGAAAGACGGGAATTTTTTTCCCTCATGGCAGCAAATGTAGAAATTCATAACTCCATCCTATTCAGCCATTAAAACAAAAAAAAAAAAAACAGAGAAGCCAATAAATAGTCTGTAGAATCATATGCATGGATGGCCAAGAGGATATCTGCAGTATCACAAAGATAATTGAATTCTCGCAACCGCCAATTCAGCAACCTTATTCCTGACTGTCTTTTTAAAAAATAAAATGTAAATATTAAAATATAAAAAATTGGGTCCTTTCAAACTGTGACAAAAATATGGTGGGTCCAGCCCTGTCCATGCAATACTCTTAGACAAGTGCTTTGAGATTATCCAAGGAAAATAGTGATATTGTTTGGTTTACATGATTAGAGCCTCTCAAGTAATTGAACTATGGATATACACTAAAGAAACATCCATTTAAGCGTGTGATGGATGTAATCGCTCACAAGCCCTTCAACACTAAAACTTTAGCCATCGGATTTCTAGGAATGATGGATTTACAGAATCTAATGCCTAAATTAGATGATGTTGGTTATATTACAGTTCATTATTTGCAGAAAGATGAACATTAATTGACTAATCAAATACTACTTCCAAGAGAAAGTTTAATTTCCTATAAAGTCTTCAGAGAATAGAGTTCATTGCCAACTTACTATACAAATGAGAAGCCACACTGCCTTTACTCATGTAGACATAGATAAGCATATGCTGGCTCTTTTCTGCACAATATCCAACCAAATTCACGAGGTTCCTGTGATGTAACCTTCCCAGTAACGTAACCTGACAAAAATAAATAAATAAATAAATGGCTAAAACTGATGAACCTAACTGGTATAAACAAAGAGGTTGCTAATTACATGACACTGGAAGAACATATGAGATATATTCTGATAAAATATGTAATAATAAGTTTTCCCTGGCAGCCAGAACAAGTATACATGGTTAATTTGCAAGTATCAATGCAAAAAAAAAAAAAAAAAAAAAAAAAAAAAAAAAAAAAAAAAAAATAAAAAATTCCATCCTAAATTCGACTAAATTTACTGAATTTTTTTTCCAGACTTTAGTACGTTTGATTACCCAAACCATTATCAGGATATTTCAAAGAAAGTTCGTATTTTTTTTTTTTAGATTGTACAAGTTAATTCAACCACCAATCAAAACTGACTTTGTTGGACCAGTTAGCAAAATTAGCGATTTAGCATTGCATTAGCACCAATCCACACATATATGTTGTCTTTTGTTTTTCCTTCTCAATCTATTTCCATACATAACCTCTCAAGATCTCATTAAAATAACAAGTATATAGACTGCTACTTGCAAGAAAGATATTGAACTTCTGGATGCAAGATATACAGTGAACATTCAATTGTGCCATAAATTAATCAATTTTTTCTGAGTTCAGTTATGAAAATCACGTAAGCAAGTTAATGACGCAAGTTATAATAGAAAATATTTCAGAAAGTTATGACGTAATTTCACCCATTTCCATTGACATGACAAGTTCATTTCTTTTCAAGTTCCCCATATTATTCTCCCAAATATTCTCATACTTCAGTTGTGATTCATCTTATCGTAATAACCAGTATTTATGCAGTATATCGAATACAATTGAGAGTAAGAAACTTAAAGCAACAACAATCAAAGGAAAGGTTTACAAATTTCCTAATTGACTGGTACTCCTAATGTTTACCACAAGTAGAAAAAATGAAGACATGTTTGAGAATCATGAGTGGAAGTTATAATTTCATAATCAAGTAAATTTATCAAAATGTCATTTGGATTCATATCAGCACAACATTTTCAATCTAGAGATAAAATTTGACATATAATCATATTTATTTCCATAATGTGTTTAGTGCAAAAGTTTTTTCAACTTTTATATATGTCTAATCCCCAGATTATAGGACACGGGGACACTGTTCAAAATCTTTTTCATACCCAGTGGTTGTCTATGCAACAGATTATGTCCAGTAAAGGTGCTCAATTATTTAAAATAACCATGTATAATAGAAATAGATCAAGGAAGTATCCAGGGGAATTCCTACTAGAAGAAACATGATTCATCTTCTTCCCTTTTTAGACATTCCTGGAGGTCATGATTCTGAGCAGCATCATATCAGATTTCATATTCTTTATTTATATTTTTTCAATAAGGCATATACTTCACACA